CGGTGAATTTTACTGTATTTAAATGTTAAAAGTGGGGGTAGGAAAAGAGGAAAGAGCAAAGGAGACTGAGAATTCCACCAGTAAGGTGGAAAGAAACCCCAAGACTGTGGTGACCTGCAGATCAATGAATGTTTAAAAGAAATCCCTTCAATGATAGATTACCCATAATTTATCAAATGTCAATAAACAGTCTGGCCAAATAAGATGGTTCTCCAATAAATTTTTATGAAACACTTGGCCCACAGTATGGACTTCTGTGGAATTTTTGATGTAATCAATGAAACAAATATATCAAATTTGAAACATTGAAAAAGAAAAAAAAGATTTTTGACCTGGAAGCCAAGTAAAGAAAGTACATCAAGGAGGGCATGATAAACTCTGCTGACATCTAGGAAAATAAAAGGTAACAACCATCTCAGAGACACGGAGGCCTCTAGTCACCTTGACAACAGCAGTCTCTGTGGAGCAGTGGAAGCCAAGCGAGCTAGAAATGTGAGGTCAAGAGAGAATCAGAGAAGAGACAGTTAACACAGCCCTGAGTTACCCCAGTGGCCATCCTTGAACTATTTGTTATTGGCCCCCCAGGAGATAAGGAGCTTGCAGGGGAATGCAAACCAACACTCCACGTCCTCTGCTGAGAAGTCTTGCTGTGAAAACGTCAGCTCATCTTCACACTTGCTGACAGATGTTGATTTACATCATGGCTTGCTCAGGGCCTTAATCTCAGAGACTGTCCTCCGGACAGGCTGGCCACACTCTGGAAGTGTTCTTCCACCTGTTTTACAATCTCCACGTTTCTAAAACGCATTTCCTCTCCTTTTATTTGGTCATTGTGAGTTTATGCCTTAACTTTTTCTTTATTATCATTCTAGGGGTCTAAGGAGGAGAGTAGTAAGTCTCTATGTTCAATCCACCCACCCTCCTTTCTTGCAAACACCAGATTTTCTTTGTATATATGGCACATGTTATTACTTAAAAGGTGGTTTATTAACTGGGCTGGGTTGTAACTTACATTTTAAAATTTAATATATGTTGAACATTTCTTTATTAATTAGAAAATAATACCTAGTCACTGTAAAAATATTAATACAGAAACAGAATAAAGAGCCCCAAATCCCTTGTTCAGCCCCCACCTTTCAGTCTCCCACTCCAGAGTCACCTCTTTCTAGTGAGAGCTACTGGTTTATTACTCTTCAAATATACTATGTTTGGTACAAATTGAAGGTTTGTGGCAACCCTGCCTTGAGTAACTCATCATCATTTTTCCAACAGCATTTTCTCACTTCTTGTCTCTGTGTCACATTTGGGTAGTTCTCACAATGTTACTATTTCAAAAAGGTTACAGCTTGTTGAAGGCTCAGATGATGGTTAGCACTTTCTAGTAATAAGGTATTGTTTAATTAAGGTATGTACATTGTTTTGTTAGATACAGTGCTATTGCACATTTGATAGACTATAGTGTAAACATAACTTTTATTTGCACTGGGAAACCAAAACATTCATGTGACTCGCTTTATTGTGATATTCCCTTGACTGTGGTGTCTGGAACGGAACCTGCAACATCTCTGAGGTGTGCCTATAGTTTTGACCACTATGTATCATCTACAAGCTGCATGTATTTATCTTTTGCTTATTTTTCTTTGCTTTGCTTTTTTAAATCTGAAATTTAATATTTGGATAGGTATAAAAATCAAGATTCAAAATTCAAAAGGTAGAAAGGGATATACAATGAAGTCTCACTTCCACCTAATTCCCCTTCTCAGAGGCAACAAAGGATACTAGTTTTTACAGTTTTAGAGAGAGTTAATGGATATATAAGGAACTGCATGTATAAGGAAAATGTACACTTATCTTTTTACACAAACAGTAGCATACTATCTAGTCTGTACCCTGTTTTTACTCGAAAACATATATGGAGATTATTTTTTCTCAGTAAATAGAAGGTTGCCTCATTCTTTTTGATGGTGCTATTTAACCAATCCTCTCCTGATGGACATTTAATTTGTATTCTGATTTTGGTTAAAACAAATAATCATGCAATTAATGCTTTCGAATTGGTGGGAGTATATCCCCAGGATAAGTTCCTGGAAGCAGTGTTGCTGGGTCAAAGGACATATGAAGTTGTGATTTTGACAGATATTTCTAAATTTGCCTTCCACGGTTTACAGGTCCCAGTGGGACACGAGTGCGCTTGCTTCCCACACCCTTGCTCACGGAGCAGTTAACACGTTCTCACGTCTGGTTTGCTATCTCATTGCAGGTGAGTTCTCATTTTTTTTATGACTGAGACTTATCATCTTTTCAAAGGCTTATGAAGCATTTGTGTTTTCTTTTCTGTGAACTCTGTTCCTGTGCTTGGCTCTTTCGGTGGCAGTTGCTCTTTTTATATTAGAGAATTCTGCCCTTAGTCTGTGTATGGAGCACCCCCCAGCCTGTGTGTCTGCTCTCCTCTCACACATCAAACAGCCCTGCCAGGTCAGCTGGGGGTCCCACAATTTGTGATTCTGCAACCACGCACCTGTAGACAGCATCAGCTCCCACAGGCTTAGGGGTTCAGTCCCACAAAACTGCCAGTCCCACCCACCCCACACGCCTGGGGAGCCATCACGAGCCCGCGTCGTTGCCTGTGCTTCCCACAGCCCCTCCTTGGTTTCCTTTAATTTCCTAGAGCAGCTCACAGAACTCAGGAAAACATTCCACTGACTACATTGCCGGTTTCTTCTAATAACTCAGGAACAGCCAGATGGAAAGAATGCATAAGGCGAGGTGTGTAGGAAGGGGCATGGACCTGCCCCCCACCGCCCCCAACGCCCCCCTCTGAGCACAGCACCCTCTCCCCATCTCCAAGTGCTCGTCAAGAACACCTGGGCCCCATCTTTTGGGGTTTTTAGGGAGGCATCCTTACAAAGGCACAAATGAGTAAATCATTGGCCACTGGTGACTGAGTCAACCTCCAGCCTCCCTCCCGTCCCCTTTCTGGAGGCTGGTAGAGAGGGGACTGTAAGTTCCAGCCCTCTGATCACTCGGTTGGTTTCCCAGGCAGCAAACCCCAATCCTTAGGGCCTTTCCAAAAGTCACCTCATGAAACTCAGTTCAGCTGCGGTTGGCTTTGGAGCTATTCAAGAAATGATGACAACAGACCAAATATTATAAGAAAAGATGCTCCCATTGCTGTTAAACGTAGGAAATTTCAAGGGTTTTAGGAGCTCTGTGTCAAATACATATTTCTTATTATAAATCACACTCTCAGCCTGTGACTTGAAGTGTAAATATTTTTTACCCAGTTTATTTGTCCTATAACTTTTGTCACGTTCATCTTACAACAGTTTTTCCCAAGGGGAAACTTTAATTTTTTTTTTTTTTTTTTTTTTTTTTTGCGGTACGCGGGCCTCTCACTATTGTGGCCTCTCCCGTTGCGGAGCCGCAGGCTCTGTGGCCATGGCTCACGGGCGCAGCCGCTCCGCGGCATATGGGATCTTCCCAGACCGGGGCACGAACCCGTGTCCCCCGCATCGGCGGGCGGACTCTCAACCACTGCGCCACCAGGGAAGCCCGGAAACTTTAATTTTTATGTAGTTAAATATATCAGGCTTTCCACTTATGACTTCTATGCCAATCCTAAAAACTCTTAGAGCTCCCCTCTCTGAGATGATTTTGAAAACATGCCCCATTGTTTATTTCTAATACTTTAATAGTTTCATTTTAAACTATGAAATCTTTGAATCAGCTGATTCAGAAGTTACAAACTGTAAGGTAGAGCTAATAACCTAAGTTTTTTCCTTGGTGCTTTACCCAGTTGTCTTAATACCATCTACTTATTGAGCTCACTTCTCTGTGATTTTAAGGGTCACCTTTAAGTACTAAATTCCCATATACGCTTTAGTCTATGTCTTTATTTCCTATGTTGTTTCTTTGATCTGACTATTCATGGACAGTATCTCACTGTTTGTTACTGTTATTATAATAATGGGCCCAATATCCTATAGCATTAGTCCTCTCCTAGATGGACTGAGGAGGAATCACCATGTTTCTGGTGTCAAGTCTCTATCTGAGGACATGCCACGCCTTTCAAGTCTTCTTTTGTAACTTTCAGTAGTGTTCTTAAGTTGTCTTCAAAAAGATTTAATCTTTTTTGTTGTTATTATAGATGGGGCTTTTTCTTGAACTGTATCTTCTAACTGGTAGTTGCTTTTATGAAGCAACGGATATTTACATATTAAGTTTTCACCCAGACACCTTACTGAATGCTTTTATTTCTGTGTTTTTTAATAAAAGCTTTTCTAGCAGGATCTTTGGAGTTTTCTGGGTATTCAATCATATTATCTGCAAATAAAGGTAATTTTCATTACCTTTTCAAACTATAAAGACCCATATTCTTTTTCTTATCTGAATATTTTGTTGGAACCTCCAGAATAACGTGTGGACATTTTTGTCTTAATTCTGAAGTAAATGGGAACATATCTGACGTTTCCTACTAACTTTGTCTGTTGCATTATTTCTTTTCAAAATGAAAATCTTAAATAGGAATATTTGACTCTTGCTTGGTAAATATGTTTCCCATACTGGTAGGTTTATTCTTAATTTTATATATGGTACCAGCCAACTTCTATATCAGTATATGTGTATTTGTATATATATATTTAATCACCTGAAACCATTTCAGTGTATGTATTATGAAATCCCTTTATCATATTGAGATATTTCCCTCTCCTATTTTTCACTATTATAAACATTACTGCCATGATTTTACATGTCTTTGTGCACTTGTGTATCATGCAGGATAATGGTTGTAATTTTTTACTTTTAAATCTTTGCTACATCTGAAATTGGGATGTTACATTCCAGTCAGGGAAGAGAAAAACAACGTAAATAAGTAAATTATATAATATGGATGGTGGGAAGTGCAATGGGAAAAAAACAAACAGGGTGTAGAGGCAGAAAAATCTTCCCTTCTTCCCTCCTAGTTTCTTTGGCTGGTTTAATAATAAAATGGATATAAGACAGATTAACAGGAGAAAAACAAATTTAATTTTGTATGCATGGGAGCCCCATAAAAAGATGACTTGTGAAGAAGTGATCAAGCAGGAAGCTACCCTTTTGTAAGAAACATTTACATTTATAAATGAAATCTCTATTTGTAAGGGTATCTCCCTCTCTGTGCCAAAAAGAGGTGGATGACTCTACATCTTGATAAAGTGTTACCAATGCAGAAGGCAAAGACCTAAATCTGCGTAACAACCATACTCTTGTCAACTGTGCTTTGCCTGTAGCCTCCCATAACCAGCTCTCCCACTCCCAAACATCTTTTGTCCTTAGCTGGATGGTATTTAAGGTGGTGGCTTGGGTCACTTGGGGGAGTTACTCAGTATTCCTGGGTATCTCCCATGTATGCACAAGGTATACATGTTATTAAACTTCTATTTGTCTCCTGTTTACTATCTTTTATTACAGACGGATGTCAACCAAGAACCTAAAAGGATAGAGGAATATTATTTTTCCTCCCCTACACAAGGTTTGTTTATACAGCCTTCTTGGCCCTAAATTCCCTGTCTGGTGATAAGGATGTCTTCTACCCTCCTGGTGTTACCAGACCAAACCTGGGTCCACTCACCCACCATGCTGCAAAGCCAGTCTACTGACACCAGGCTGTGGTGAAGAAAGTACAGCATTTATTTCAGGGCTCAAGTAAGAGGAATGGGCAGCTCATGCTCAAAAGACCCAAAACTCCCAGATGGTTTTCAGGGAAAGGCTTTTAAAGGCAACAATTGGGGTGAGGGTTGCACGGTACATGACTTTCTTCTGATTGTTTGGTGGTGAGGTAACCAGGTGGTGCTCCAGGAACCTTAATCATCAACCTTCTGGTTCCAACCAGTCTGTGCTTGTGGTCAGCTTGTAGTCACCATCCTCCACCTGAGTGGGGTCTTAGTTCCTCTGAACAACTCAAAGATATGCAGCAGATTGCTATGTATAGCACTTGAGGAGGAAGCAGGACTCTTTATCTCTGCAGTATTGTTTCTTGACTGCTTTTCCTTTGTGTCTGCATTCCCTCACTCCTCTAATTAGTAACTGCTTGTGCCTGCTCTTTGGAACTCAGAGAAGGCCTAGGAGATTAAAGCCCTTTTCTACAAACAAACAAGAAACAGAGACATAGAGGGGCTTTTGTACCCAGGAGAGCCCTGCCGGGTCCTGCTCAGTTTCACTGGGGAGGGTACCTTTCACATGGCAGATTTATCTCCTGCTTTCTCAGGGAAAAAGGAGGGTAAGAATTTACTTCTGTTTTTTTGTTTCTTAAGTGACTTTTATGGGATTTTTTGTTTTTGTTTTGTTTTGGCCATGCTGCAGGGCATGTGGGATCTTAGTTCCCCAACCAGGGTTCGAACCCAATGCCCCCTGCAGTGGAAGCACAGTCTTAACCACTAGACTGCCACGGAAGTTCCAAGAGTTTACTTCTTGTAGTGGATGTTCCTCAAGTAACTTTAGTTCAAAATAACCAATATGCCAAAGTGACATTATTTTGAGATGACATATTCTGAACCCCTAAGGTAAGGGAGAAAGAAGGGGCTGAGTGGGGAGGAGGCCTCACTGAGAAAGAGACATGAATAAAGACTTGAAGGAGGTAAAGTTACCTAGGAATTGATCATTCCATGATGAGGGAACAGGGGTGCAAGGTCCTGAGGTGGGGACGTGTCTGAGTCCAGAAACAACAATGTGACTGAAACAGAGAAAGTGAAGGAGCAGAAAGAGGTAAGGTGGGTGGGAGCTGATCTTCTAGAGCCCTGGAGGTCACTGCCAGGGACTTGGGATTTTACTGATTAGGGAAACCTCAGAGTAACACACATGTCAAATGTGTTTCAGAAAGATGTCTTTGGCAGCTACACTAAACACTGATGCTTGTGGTGGTGGGGGGTAGGGGCCGGGGGAGAGTGGTGGTTAGAATCTGAAAGACCACTTAAGAGACTATTGCAACAATCCATGTGAAGGTGATGGAGTCTGACTCTATTGTAAAGGAAAAGCCAGCGACCCCCGTGGAGATAGAGAAGGCTGTGGAGGAGAGCTCACCTTTGCAAAATGCCTTTCAGTCATTGCAGTGGAGATCTAGAAGAGAAGCAGCGTATACACGTCTGGAGGTCAGGGAGGACACATCTGGAAGTGGCCAGCTTGTACACTGTGCTATAGCCATGAGGTCAGCAAGAGCGAGTGCCTATGGAGAGAAGAGGCCCAGGAGACACTAACACCAAGAAAAGGAGCCTGCAAAGGAGACAGGACAGGAGGCCAGTGTGGCTGGAAGAAAGCCAGGAGGCTGCAGTGTCCTGGAAGCCAGAGTAAAGAAAATCAATCAAGGAGGGAGTGGGCAACTGAGAGGAAGGGTGCAGGCAGGCTGAGGAGGGCACTCAGCCCTGGTAAGAGGTATCCTACCCTTGGCCTGGATAAGAAGTTCCAGTGGAACAGCAGGATGAAAAGCTGGGCCAGACAAGAGAGGCTGTGAGGGGAAGAATTAGAGACAGGCTTACGTGGCTTACAAATAAACAACCTTCCTTAGGAAACCTAGGAAATGTTTTGAAATTTTTGTGATTTGTGATTGGCATATATTCAAGGTTTGTTTCCTGAAGAATTCAAGAGGCTAACAAATGGGAGTTTTGTATTCAAGGCTCACAAGAGCATCTCTGATCAGTTTGCGAGATTACCAAATAACAGTGTCTTCTGTAAAAAGGATGGGGAGAGAACGTAAAGTTCATTTTGTTTGCCATTCTGTTTTCTGAATGGTTGCAGAACATGGAAGCTAAATTCTTTCCATAAGTCATATTAACATCAGAATCTCCATGAGGCCTAATTTACAGAAGGAGAATTGTATTCTTCAATCCCGATACTGGCTTGTCTGTCTGCTGTGTTCACTTCCTCTCCCCGTCATGCCCCAACCCCACCACGAGAATGTAGGTTCCATGAGAACAGAAACCACCTCTGTCTGACTGACCCCTGTTCTCTGGTGCACACTGGCTCTCAACTAAATGTTAAGTATTAAATGAAATGAAATGCCTGTGTATGGAGACATTTTTAGTTGTCACAACTGGAGGTTGCTACAGGCATCCTAGCAGTCAGAAATACTGCTAAATATCCTACAACACACAGGACAGTCACCATAACAAAGATTATACCACCCAAAATGTCCATAGTGCCAAGGTTAGAGAGCCCTGCCTTAGAGAAAAAAGGAAAAAGAATTAACTCAATTCATGTGAAGAAAAACGGCCTCCAGCAGAAGCCTGGGGGTGCGGGGTGTATGTGTGTGTGTGTGTGTGTGTGTGTGTGTGTGTGTGTGTGTGTGTGTGTGTGTTTGGCTGCACTGTGAAGCTTGTGGGATCTTAGTTCCCTGACCAGGAATCGAACCTGGGCCCTCAGCAGGGAAAGCACGGAGTCCTAACCACTGGACAGCCAGGGAATTCCCAAGCATGGGTATATTAAAATTCCCTCAAACACTGCTGGCTCTCACCCGATGTGGCTTTAGGAATTCATTTGTGTGAACTTTCCACTGGTGCTACGGGGAAAGAATCCAGGTTGTAGTGTTTGAAGAGTACGTGGCAAAAGAATCCAAAACAAACTAGCAAATATTTCCAACAAATATAAACTGAAGACTATCCTTATGTATAAAAGAAGATGTTTGTTAGAAAAAGAATATCCCAGGAGAATAATAAGCAAAAGACTTACACATGTACATCACAAAAGATTTGTAAAACGCCAAAGAATACGGGGAAAAAAGCTCTAATTCATTAGTATTCAAAGAAGTTCAGTAAGTCATGATGCTATTGTCATTTGAAATAAAATCCCCAAATTAACAATATAGAAATACAATACAGATATATACATATATACCCATGATAAAATGTTACTTTACCTGCCCTAGTTCAGCGCCATATACTCTGCCACCCACTTTCCTACACCACACTGGCAGTCTGATCCTTCTGAAACTAAAACCGACTGCCACTTCCTTGCCTGGAACCCTTCAGTGGGCCCCATTCCACTGGAGGCCCCTTGGCCTAGGGAGCGTTAGGGTCCCCAGAATCTGCCACTGGTCGTTCCTCCTCCCATGTCCAGCACCACCCTTTGGGCTCAAGCTATACACAGTGCAGATGATCATCTGTAGCTGTTCGACCTTCTTGTTTACTCATAAATTTCCCTGGAATACCTAAAGCCTTTCCCCCCAGGAGACTCTCTGAGCCGGAGCCCCTATGGCACTCTCGGCTTAGTGTCATCATTTCACTTAGCACAGAGCCCGGAAATCCCAGTCCTCTCCTTAGAATGTAAGCTACAAGCTAGGACTGTCTTATTAATTTTTGTATCCACGGTGCTAGCACAGTGTCTACTTGGTGCGCAGAATGATTAACATTTAAATTGTTTTGTTCATTCCTTTCTTTCATTTTCTTTTATTGTTTGAAATGTTCAGTACTGAGTTTAGAAAACAGTGTTGGTGATTATACAGACAGCCCATCGGAACTTGAGTATTCTAACTTTTTAACTAGACCTTTCTCTGTAAACCAATGTTCATCACATAAACCTTAGAAACTGACTGTAGATCCAAACTGAATTTAAAAGTAAATGAGAATTAACCATCTACCACATGTATTTTCCCTAAGGAAAACAGCTAAAGGTAAAAGCTCTTCCAGAACATAGAGACAGGTTTCCACAGAAGGCAATGGCTTTGAGACATATTAAAAAGGAAGGAAAAAAGAAAAAAAGAGAGGAAGGAAAAGTCAGGAAACTTGGATACAATCTTAACTTTAAAAATACAATTTTGGCTTTAGTTTGTGAATGTTTTCAATTTGGGGACTCAATGGTATTGACCACAGGTGACACACAATCACCTTGACCTCAGCAGAAAACCTTGAGAATGCTCCGCAATGGCTGTATCTAAAGGAAACAGATGTTTGCCCTTCAGATGTATGGTATGACTCAATGAACACATCCCTTGCCAAACAGTTATGTATAGCTCAAGGATTTTTAAATCAAATATTGATTATTCAGCTAAATAAAAAAGAAATTCAGCAGCATACGTAATCACACATATCCCCTTCCCTCATGTTAAGCTTTCACACAGAAGGCTTTCTGAGACAGCATGTAAAGGTGCCAAAAGCAAACTGATACATGAAAAGGCCATGCTAGGAAAACTGGAGAAATAATGCCATTTACTCATAAATATGCTTCATTTTATCTGGAGAATTAGATATGTTTAATATCTATATATAAGTTGATATGACATTTTTTTCATCATAATTTTAAAGTATAATCCAAGACTAAAAAACATATTCTTTTTTTCTTTCAAACTTAAAGCTACAGAAGACCCCTTTCCTATCACTGAACTTATTGATCCAAAGACAGTCAATACTGAAATACATGGCTACCTCTCAAAGAAGGGTCAAAATAAAGAGAAAGCCCGAAGTCTTCTCTAATTATTTCAGCTGCTGCCAATGGCAGGCGCTCCTGCTTTCACAGGCAGCACTGGTCGGTCTAATGCTGGTCCAAGTAATCTTCAAATCTTATTTCTGGAGAATGGAAACCTGTAGGGGCTGCAAAGTAAATCATCCAGTGAGACCTTGGTCCTACAGTGACGAAATTCTTATAAAAGCTATAAGGGCCAAGGCTATCCAATACCACACAAGCATATAAAATACATAAGGCTCCATGGGAAAAAACACTAACCATGAGAAATGATGACTTCTCTCACCAGTATAAAAGTGGGAAAAACTCAAGCCCAGTTTTAAATAGGTTGTCATTTTAGACTTCCTCTATAAAAAGCCAAATTATTACCAGGTCCCAATAAGTATGGAAGAAGTGCTGGTCAAGGAGATGTTTAACCTATACCTTTGATCCTAGGATAAACCAGGCAGTTAAATAATTTCAAAATGTGCAAAACAGACATTCCCCTTGAGTTCGTGAGGCGCTACAAAGTGTCTTTCAAATGACCCGCGAGTCCAACTTATTAAACAGCCACACAGGTGAGAACCAAATTCAGGTTTCCAACAGAAATTGGAGAATGTTACTTGGCAAAGCTACATTTCCCTAAGACAGCTTGTCAGGTAGCTGGTCAGTCTAAATTACTCTGGCTCCTCTGGAATTGCTGTCAAATCCCACTTGGCTGAGAGCTGAGGTCAGAGGACGTGAAGGCCAGCAGACGCTGGCTGAGCAGGGCATTGTGCCGCTTCAGGTACACTATGATGTCTCCTTGCTTCTCCACAATCTCTTCCAGGCTTGAGAGAGTCCTGCACAGAACCAAGGTATTCATGAGTTACACATGTTCACCAAAAGTCTCTTTGCAAATGGATCTCTACTAGTTTTCAGTACAGCACGTTATATCTGTTACTTTTTCTTAGATTTTATAAGCCAAGGCAATATCCCCAAATGAGATTCTTTCTTTAGGCTTGGTTTCACCACAGCTGAGAGGAAGTAAACAAATCAAACATAGTTGTAAACATATTTTAACATATGCAGAGTCCTTAAACTCCAAGCATCAGAATGGTCTCTAGATTTCCAGATGGAATAAACTTTTAAATCTCTTTCACTAATCTTTTACTCCACACTTACCTGAATCCAGTCTCCGAGGTAATATTGCTGGGGTAAGCATAGATTTTTTCTTCTTCAAGTACATCAGGCTGTGGCTTGGCTTTATTAAATTTTCGAATTTTCACTAAAATAATAAAGTCATTATTGTCAGGTTATCCAATCACGAAAAATTTTCTAATTCCATTTATTCAAATTTCATTAGTAATTGGCTATTCTTTTCAAGTAATATGCAAAAAAAAAAAAACGGTTCATAAAGTAAATAAACAAATAGGGAAAATGTGCTAAAAGGGAATGGAAATGATGATGCAGAGGCAAGAGAAGAGTCAGGAAAGAGCCATCAGCGCTCATTGCCCGGAAGTGAAGACACGTGGAAGAGCCAGGGAATTCGGTGACCTGGAGGCCACTGACGAACCTGAAGCCTTAACCCCAACATGAGTGTCCTTGGAGACATGACCTTTGGTGAGGTAATCAAAGTAAGAACAAAGTAATGGGGGCTGTGCTGATCTGAGAGATGAAGGGACACCAGGAATGCACCTGCACAGAGCAAAGGCCACGTGAGGACACAGCGAGAGGCGGCCACCTACACACCAAGGAAGAAGCCTCTGGAGAAGCCAGGCCTGCGACACCCCGATTTCAGAGGTCCAGCCTCCACAACTGAGAGAAAATAAGTTTGTGTGTCTTAGTCACCCAGGCTGGGTATGTGCTCTGGCAGCCCCAGCAGCCTAATGCACGTGGGTAGAAGTCTGCTGCAGAGAGTTGAATAATCAGACACAACAAGGCTGTTGTTCCCAACCTCGCAGGTTTGGCTACAGACTGAGCTGAACAATCTGCATGTCTGAGTAAGAGCCACTGTCTGGGGACACTGACCCACCTGCGTAATAACCCTGGGACACGGCTGGAATGAGCACTCCCACCACAGATGGTGACAAGGGGACAAGAGAAAAGGCTGAGCCAGGCCTCAGTGATGGCAGTGACTGTCCAATGAGACTGGCCTTGAGAATTGTTCGTGCAGCTCCAAATGGGTCAAGTATTCAACACGTGGGAAGGGGGAGGGGAGGTGGGTTAGGCCCCAGCACAATTTTTAAAAACTCCACATATGATTCTTTCCTTTCTTGTAACAACCCTTGAGATATAATTCACATACAATGCAATTCCTTCAAAGTGTACAATTCAATGGTTCGGTACATTCAAACAGTTGTGCAACTGTCTCCATAATCAATTTTAGAACATCTTGTCACCCCAGAAAGAAGCCTGGGATCCATGAGCAGTCACTCTCTAGGTACCCCCACCTCCAGGACTAGGCAACCACTAATGTGTTCTCCTTCTCTATAGATGTGCCTGCTCTGGGCATTCCAAGTACACAGAATCATACAATATTTACGTCTGGCTTTTTTTTCTCTCAGCATAATGCTTTCAAGGTTCATCCATACTGTAAGTGTCAGTGCTTCATTCCACTATTCTTTCCTTTTTGTGGCTGAATACTATCCTCTGTATGGGTAGAACACCTTCTGTTGGTCTAGTCCTCACTTTATCCTAACACCATTTAGATTGTTTCCACTTCTGGTTGCTATAAATAATGCCATTTGGAACATCTGTGTAAAAGTACACATGGACCCAGAAGTGCATGTGCTGAGTCATATGTTCAACCTGTCATGGAACTCCCAGGACCCACAGATGATTCTGATGTGACTCTCAGATGAGAATGAGGCTGGAGAAGATTAAACAAAGAGGTTAAAGAGAAATGTGAGAAGGTTAGGAGACATGCAGAGGGTTCAATCAGAAAGGACCAGAAGGAAGTGGGCAGTGAGATGCCGAAAGAACCAGTGAGGGAATGTAACAAGAAGCCCTTGATTTTTAGGTGGTGGCCAAGAGAGTTAGAAATGAGAAGCCCCTCACACAAAAACAGACACACACAGATCAACACACAGAAACAGAACAGAGGACACAGAAATAAACCTACACACTTATGGTCAATTAATCCATGACAAGGGAAGCAAGAATATACAATGGAGAAAAGAATCTCTTCAATAAGCATTGCTGGGAAAACTGGACAGCTACATGTAAAAACTGAAATTAGAACATTCTCCAACACCATATACAAAAATAAACTCAAAATGGATTAAACACCTAAATGTAAGGCTGGAGACTATAAAACTGCTAGAGGAAAACATAGGCAGAACACCCTGACACAAATTGCAACAATGTTTTTTTGGATCCATATGCTACAGTAATGGAAATACAAGCAAAAATAAACAAATGGGACCTAATGAAACTTAAAAGCTTTTGCACAGCAAAGGAAACCATAAACAACACAAAAACAAAACCTACAGAATGGGAGAAAATATTTCCAAACCACAAGACCAACAAGGGATTAATTTCCAAAATATACAAACAGCTCATATAGCACAATATCAAAAAAACAAACAAACAACACAATCAAAAATTCGGCAAAACTCCTACACAGACATTTCTCCAAGAAGACATCAAGATGATCAACAGACACATGAAAAGATGCGCAACACGGCTAATCAGAAAAATGCAAATCAAAACTACAATGAGGTATCACCTCACACCAGTCAGAATGGCCATCATCAAAAGTCTACAAAAAAGGGCTTCCCTGGTGGCGCAGTGGTTGAGAGTTCGCCTGCCGATGCAGGGGACATGGGTTTGTGCCCCGGTCTGGGAAGATCCCACATGCCGCAGAGCGGCTAGGCCCGTGAGCCATGGCCACTAAGCCTGCACGTCCGGAGCCTGTGCTCCGCAACGGGAGAGGCCACAACAGTGAGAGGTCTGCGTACCGCAAAAAAAAAAAAAAAAAAAGTACAAAAAAAGAAGTCTACAAATAAAATAAAATAAACAGTCTACAAATAATAAATGCTGGAGGGGGTGTGGAGAAAAGGGAACCCTCCTGCACTGTTGATGGGAATGTAAATTGGTACAGCCACTATGGAGAACAGTATGGAGGTTTGTTAAAAAACTAAAAGCAGATTTACCATATGATCCAGCAATCCCACCCCTGGGCATATATCCAGAGGAAAAACATGGTTCAAAAGGATACATGCAGGGGACTTCCCTGGTGGCACAGTGGTTAAGAATCTGCCTGCCCGCGAGCCGCGGCTAAAAGCGTGGACCCCAAGGATGGGCGCGAGCCGCGGCTAAAAGCGTGGACCCCAAGGATGGGCGCGAGCCGCGGCTAAAAGCGCGGATCCCAGAGACGGGCGCGAGCCGCGGCTAAAAGCACGGACCCCAGAGACGGGCGGGAGACGCTAAGGCTGCTGCTGCCGCCACCAAGGGGCCTGTGTGCGAGCACAGGTCACTATCCACACCCCTCTTCCGGGGAGCCTGTGCAGCCCGCCACTGCCAGGGTCCTGGGAACCAGGGACAACTTCCCCGGGAGAACGCACGGCGCGCCTCAGGCTGGTGCAACGTCACGCCGGCCTCTGCCGCCGCAGGCCCGCCCCGCACACCGTGCCCCTCCCTCCCCCCGGCCTGAGTGTGCCAGAGCCCCCGAATCAGCGGCTCCTTTAACCCCGTCCTGTCTGAGCAAAAAACAGACGCCCTCCAGCGACCTACACGCAGAGGCAGGGCCAAATCCAAAGCTGAGCCCCTGTGAGCTGTGAGAACAAAGAGAAAGGGAAATCTCCCAGCAGCCTCAGAAACAGCGGATTAAAGCTCCACAATCAAGTTGATGTACCCTGCATCTGTGGAATACATGAATAGACAATGAGTCATCCCAAATTGAGGAGGTGGACTTCGAGAGCAAGATCTATGATTTTTTCCCCTTTTCCTCTTTTTGTGAATGTGTATGTGTATGCTTCTGTGTGAGATCTTGTCTGTACAGCTTTGCTTCCACCATTTGTCCTAGGGTTCTATCCGTCCATTGTTTTTTTTTTAAATTTTTTTCTTAATAATTAATTTTAATAACTTTATTATACTTTTCCTTCCTTCCTTCCTTCCTTCCTTCCTTCCTTCCTCCCTCCCTCCCTCCCTCCCTCCCTCCCTCCCTTAGACAACGAATCATCCCAAATTGAGGAGGTGGACTTTGAGAGCAAGATTTATGATTTTTTCCCCTTTACCTCTTTTTGTGAGGGTGTATGTGTATGCTTCTGTGTAAGATTTTGTCTGTATAGCTTTGCTTCCACCATTTGTCCTAAGGTTTTATCCATCCCTTTTTTTTCTAAATAATTATTTTTTAATTCAATAACTTTATTTTATTTTACTGTATCTTTTCTTTCTTTTTTCCTTCCTTCCCTCCTTCCTTCCTTCCTTCCTCCCTCCCTCCCTCCTTTCTTTCCTTCTTGCCTTCTTGCCTTTTCTTTTCTTTCTTTCTTTCTTTCTTTCTCTTCCTTCCTTCCTTCTCTCCTTTCTTTCTTTCTTTCTTCCTACTTCTACTAATTCTCTCTACTTTTTCTCCCTTTTATTCAGAGCCATGTGGATGAAAGGCTCTTGGTGCTCCAGCCAGAAGTCAGGGCTCTGCCTCTGAGGTGGGAGAGCCAACTTCAGGACACTGGTCAACAAGAGACGTCCCAGCTCCACATAATATCAAACGGCGAAAATCACCCAGAGATCGCCATCTTAACACCAGCATCCAGCTTCACTCAACGACCAGCAAGCTACAGTGCTGGACAACCTATGCCAAACAACTAGCAAAACAGGAACACAACCCCACCCATTAGCAGAGAGGCTGCCTAAAATCATAATGAGGCCACAGACACCCCAAAACACACCACCAGACGTGGACCTACCCACTAGAGAGACAAGATCCAGCCTCATCCACCACAACACAGGCACTAGTCCCCTCCACCAGGAAGCCTACACAACCCACTGAACCAACCTTAGCCATTGGAGACAGACATCAAAAACAACGGGAACTATGAACCTGCAGCCTGCAAAAAGGAGACCCCAAACACAGTAAGATAAGCAAAATGAGAAGACAGAAAAACACACAGCAGATAAAGGAGCAAGATAAAAATGCACCAGACCTAACAAATGAAGAGGAAATAGGCAGTCTACCTGAAAAAGAATTCAGAATAATGATAGTAAAGATGATCCAAAATATTGGAAATAGAATGGACAAAATGCAAGAAACATTTAACAAGGACCTAGAAGAAATAAAGATGAAAC